CGAAGAGCCGCGTTCACTTCCCAACTCATCCATTTTCGTTTCCGAGCCGAGCGTCGATTAGGGAGGATTTACTATAAATCTCTGAGAGATTCGAACGAGAGGTCGAAATCGAAAAAGAAAAAAAATCCCTCACGATTGAAATTTTCCTACAGTTTGACGCGAAGATCCCAGATTGTCCCGCGCGCACAATCGTTTAAAACACAATGCAGAAGTGGTAACGACCTCGCGCGAGCGTCGTTCGTACGTTATCACGAATATCATTATGATACGTGTCTTCTTGGAGGATTAATGCGGCGGCGGCGGCGAGAGGAGTTTTCGCTTCTCGAAAAGAGAGAGAGAAAGAGAGAGAGAGAGAGAGAGAGAGAGAGAGAGAGAGAAAGGCGGAGATCGAGTTTGCCGGAACGGGCGGCTGCAGAACTTGCGAACAATGGCCAGCCTCGTTGCGCGTGTCGCGATAAACAATTCCGTTTCCAGCGTGTGCTCGTGAATGTTTCACGCCGGCTGTCGCGGCGTCGCGTCGCCCGTCGCCGTGTAAACTTGCCCGAACATTCGTCGCTGAATACGGCAGAAGAGTCGCGCGGACCGTTTCAAAGGGAAGTTTTTCCGGGGAAAATGTCACCGGCGACAGTCGGCCGTGGTTCCCTCGGCGGACCCGCGCGAAAAAATGCGACGGGGATCAAAGATAATTTCATTTCGCACGCGAACATTTTTACAGTCATCGTTACCAATTTTTCTTCTTTTTTTTCTCCTCTCCGCGTACGCGGATCCGAGAGTCGCGCGCGTCGCGCTGATAATTCCACGGTTAAATTCAAAATGGCCACGATTCGCGGCTCTTTCTCTCTGCCGAGATAAAGACCGATGGCAAATTCGGAATCGTTCTGGTTACCAGTTTTTTTTTTTTATTCCTGTGTACGAAAATGGTTCCGAAAGATGCGACGCAACGATAACTGCATCGCGTTCGAAATGGTGTCACGGTTCGCAATTCTTTCTCCGCGATGATAATTCTGCAATTAAGTTCGACAAGTTCTAAGTTCTAAATTTTTCTATGAAAAAATAGCCCCATTTTTTTCTGCGGAGACAGTCCTAAAAAGTGCGACGCAATGGCAATTCTGCATTAAATTCGAAATAGTTCCAGTTCTAAATTTTTCTACGTAAAAATAGCTCGGAAAGATGCGACGCGAAGATTATTCTGCGTTCATATTCAAAATGGTAGCAGTTCTACATTTTTCTACGTAAAAATAGTTCGGAAAGATGCGATGCGATAAAATAATTCTGCATTAAAGTCGAAATGTTTCTGATCTCGAATTTTTTTTCTGCAGAAACAGTTCTAAAAAATGCGACGCAATGGCAATTCTGCATTAAATTCGAAATAGTTCCAGTTCTAAATTTTTCTACGTAAAAGTAGCTCGGAAAGATGCGACGCGAAGGTAATTCTGCGTTAATATTCAAAATGGTACCAGTTCTACATTTTTCTACGTAAAAATAGTTTAAAAAGATGCGATGTAACGGACAATTCTGCATTAAATTCGAAATGTTTCCGGTTTCGAATCTCTTTTCTACGGAGACAGTCCTAAAAAATGCGACGCAAAGATAATTTCGCGTTAAGCTCAAACAGATTCTGGTTCTAAATTGTTCCAAAAAGATTGCTATGCAAAGATAATTCCGCATTAAACTCAAATTGGTCCTGAATTTTGTCGGAGAAATGGAACTGCTCTCTCTCTCTCTCTCTCTCTCTCTCTCTCTCTCTCTCGTTTCGCGGGCTTTCTGACCCGGAACGGGCGGTAATCGGGCAAATTTTTTGCCCGCGATAATGGTAATAATATTTAAGAGAAACACGGCGAAATCTAAGGCCGAAAGAGGAGGAAAGCAGAAGTAACGAGGTTTTTTTTAAGTGCGTTCGCCCCCTTAATGGGGCGTGCGCGCGTCCCATAGAGCAGCTTGAACTTTTAATGGAAATATTACGTTTTTAATTTGAGGAAACGCGCGGACACACCGTGCACCGATGGGGGCATTAGTGCTCTTTATTACCGCGGAAAGAAAATATTATTCCGCGAAGGCTTAATGAAACCCGTGTATAAAACGCGACCGAAATAATTCCGGCTACCGCCGACACCGCGGCGGTAACTTTATTATATCGTCCTAAATAGACTGCGGACTTTTTCCATGGAAATTCGCATTTTTCCAGACAGATTTCATTCGACAGGAGTCACGCCGCGCTTTATTTTTCACTGGCGGCCGGTTCCGACCGAATAAAGACAACGTAAAAACATGGTTAAACTCGCGGGCATTTCGCGGAAACACCGTCGCTCCGCCGCGATTCCATAAAATCCCCGATCTAGCTAGGAATTTCATTATTCCGCGTGTTCCGCTCCGGACGATTTTTCGCGGCGCCGCGCCGCGCCGCGGCCGAGGAAATTCGACATTTTTCGGGCGAACATGCCGGCGAAACGGCAACGGCGAAGTCGAGGCTGCTTGGATTAATTAGGATGGAGGACGTGGAGTAAGAGGAGGAGAACATAACTAGCCCCGAAACCTCTACTTTAAGATCATGTTTCTGGATTTTATGCGTTTCATGCACCGCAGCGACCCTTTAAATACGAGGCCACGTTCGTCACATTGAAAACTGCCGGGTTCGTCGAGACGCGCGGACTTCGTTAAATTTCTTTCGGAGATCCCGTTTGCGGCTGAATGAATCACGATTCTTCGTCTTCAATTTGAAAAAAGAGAAACGAGGCTGCGACTTTTTTCGCAAAGTTACAGCACTTTAAGCGAACCCTTGCATTTTCGTCGTGGCCTCGCAATTAAAGGGTTACAACGTCGAGGCTGCGTCGAACTTAAAATCCAGGAACACGATCTCAAAGTAGAAGATTCAAGCTTCAATTTGAAAAAATTGGGATCATTCTACGCTGATTTTTCGCGAAGTTATCGTTGGTCAAATTTGGCCAATTTTAGTCGAACATTTTTCTACGCTGAAATTCTTTCGAGCGGTGTATCGTGTGTAATTATGCTCGAGAATGAACGAAACGCACAGTAATTGGCTAGGCCACGGTAACCGGCTCGATCAGCCTAACGATAGCACGCGCGTTGACGGCATCGAGATTCCATTTCGGCCGCGGAATCGCCGGGCGTTCCGTCGACGTTCCGTCGGCGTTCCGTCGGCGTTCCGTCGGCGTCCACGTCCCAGGAAATGATCTCGGCTCTCGGTTTATAGTTCGCGATAAACAGTCACGGACACGTCGAGAAACTGTACGTGGACATATTTATACGTGGCCGGCCGTCGCACCGCGGGATACGTGACGGACCATTCGTTCAGCAGGGCCGTGCACACGTGCACAGATGCACCGTGTCCCGACTGCTAATCAAATTTGCATTTTCACCTGGCAGCCGGCTACGGCAACTCGCGGACGACGTCCGCGTGCTCTCCTCCGTCGCCGACGATTTATCTTTTCGTTGACGGTCTCGGATTAACGTCTCCTTGACGAATTATTACGCGCTGCGGCTCCCTTTATTTTCGCGACAATCCTGGCCGACGTTCCGTCCGAAATTCGCCTCGACATTCCCGTGTTTACTGCTCGCGTATTGTGCTCGCGAACCATGATGTTCCAGCGGAATCGTCTATTCAGGAATTTCAGTATTTAATGGCTCATCGCCGCGGAAGATGTTCGATGAAGATCGCTTCTATGAACGCATTCGCAGGTCTCTCTGTTCATTAGAGCGTTCGTTAGAACGCCGCGACGACGAGATAAAGATTATTCAGATTCGATGCGTTGTAAATGGCTTGACGATGCTCCAAAATTGCTCGTGCATCTTTGTGATCTTATAAAAGCGGAAAATTCGCAGTTCAGTGGTCAATGTTTAGGGATAACTGTGAATGATAGCACACGTGAAATTAATCAGTTAGCTGTGTGTCTCGACGAGTATATTCGTCGCGCGTGAAAAACAGTGACCATCGGTTATTTAAATTGTAATTTCAGTGAGAACAAGAACATATTCTCGAATGTCAAGATCTGTAGAATGTTTCGAGGCCATGCTGGAATAAAAGAAATAGATAAAAAATACGAATAATTCGAGATAAACTCATGCGTCCATGTATGCACCGGCTGAAACAGCTTATCAGCCTAACGTTACGTGCTTCGTCGGCAAAAGGAGGCCTTTTAAAAAAAGGAGGAGGCGTCACAACTAGGTTAAAATTGTTAAACTGGTTAAAATCGTCTTGTCCGATCAGAGAAATCGTAAAGACGAAGGAAGCGTCGATTCGACGCGATCGCGAAAGAATTCGAAGTGCAAGCGGTCGAGAATAGAACAATGAAAGGAAACAAAACGAACTTTCAACTTTTCAAAACCACCGTGTAAATATTAATCCGGAAAAGGGTGTTTCCTGTCGAATAGGAGCAATATCGGACACAGATCGGTCTATAATATTGGGTTGGCAATTAAGTAATTGCCGATTTGTTCAATGAAATAAAAATTTCTTTTTACTTGGAATGAAGTTTAATCTGTAATGTATTTTCCATTTTGTTCGATGACCTTTTGTCATCTCTCTGACAACTTGAAAATTCCACGCTCGTAGAAAGTCTGATCCTTTTCGGCCAAAAACTGAGTTCAGTGAGATTTTACAGCGTCATCATCATTAAAAGTTTTACCACGAAGGGAGTTGTCCAGGGATCGAAATAAGTGGTAATCCGATGGCGCGAGATCAGGGCTATATGGCGGGTGTAACATCAATTCCCAACCAATATCCATCAATTTTTGCCGAGTGGACAAAGACGTGTGCGGCCCTAGCATTGTCCTGCTGGAAATGACACCTTGCCAACATAAAATCTGTTGCCAACATTCACGGATAATAAAAAATAACATAATAATAATAATAATAATAATTTTATAATATAACATTTACGGATATCATAAAAATGGGAGTGAGAGACATCTATAACTGAAATCGGCAATTACTTAATTGCCAATCCAATACAAGGAAATAACGCGGGGAAATCGTCCGCTGCCGCGCGCCGCTTGAATCGGCGAAACGAAGAATTCGGTATTAGCAGGTCCGAAAAATATTCGATATGAAGATTCTCGCGCGTTTTCGTCGTCGAAGCGCCGGGGAAGGAACACCTGGCTCGCGTTCGTCGATAGAGCCGGATGTCCTCGGCAGACTATCAGAATTTGATCCTCTTGCCGCGAGTATTAAGCGGCTCCATTCGTCGATCGCGATGAAAAATGCCGTAACCGGCTGAGGAACTGCTCGTCGGCTCCCCGTTCCTCTTCCCCCCTCGCCCCTCGGTTACGGGGTATTACCGATTTCTTAATATCGCGGTGGAGCAGACATCGGCGAAATTAATTCCGTCCTCGGCAGGCGCGCTTGTTCCCGGTGAAATCGAATATTTTATTATGGTCTCCGGTGCTCGAACGCCGTCGCCGCGACGGCCGACGACGAGCTGTCGAAGATCATCGCGACGGCTTGCACCGACATCGACGCCCTTTTTGGAATCCTCCCCGCTCGAATTTAGCATCCCCTTCTCGCTGGAAACTTGTCGAATTTTTAATCATTGTACATACACACCATCCGCGCGTAAACTCTTCCAAATGGTATAATTTTATTATGGAATTTAAATATATATATGTATATATTTATATTTATGATATTTAATTATGGAATTTTTTCTACTGTTTCAGATCGCTTCAAACTGATCGTCGCGGCTCTCAAGAGGCCGACCGAAGAGGCCCCACCCCGAAGAATTTCATAGATCACTTTATGGCCAATTTAACTTTTTAACGCGTTCGCCGGCAGCCGCGTTAACGCACGTTAGCCCGTAAATGTCGTATTTATCGCGTTTATCGCATTAAATGTATTTATTATAGATACGTCGTATCCTCTTATATAACATATGATAACAATGTTCGTCAATAAATTCTCCGAATATCGCGTTACGCGTTCAATATTTCGAACGCAAATCATAATCGCAAAATTCGAAATCGCGGTCTTTGCTCGCGTGCGACGCTTATTACATAAATAACGCGCCTAAATATTGCTTGTTATTAAAAACAACGAAAGCAAATTGTAACTTGAAAAGATCCTACGATATTATTAAAATTCGATGTACGCGGATTTCGCGAAACGTTGCGACGCGGGCCGAGCGCAAGGCAAGAGAAAACGGACGTGGCGTTCAACCCTTTAAAGATACTCGAACGAAGTAAAACGCGAACGATAGAGGAACGTTGACATTACATCGGATAATTTTTTCGAAATTTTAGGCCACGCCGGAGGGGCGCGAGAAAATGCTGATCGTTCGATACGCCGTATAACGGGTATCAACGGGGATCAGCATATTCGCACGTGCTCCAATAATCATAGACGAGCTAATGTTCGCTTAGGCTCTCGAACAGCACTTAGCGCAACGGCGCAGCGCCATCTAATTACCCGACAGAGCTCGCAGGATGACAGAGGATCGACCTATATCCGTTCGCCTCGATGAACTTCTAATCAGAATCCGGGGAATATTTGACAAAGGACGTGCCAATTCTCGCGATCACCTCCCTCTCTCTCTCTTCCTCTCTCTCTCTCTCTCTCTCCTGCCTCCGTTTCTCTCTCGTTCCCTGTCCCTCCTGTTGACAAAATTCCAACGTTCCTTTGTAATTCGCCGCGTCAATACGGGAACGCGCCCGTAATTATCTAACGAAGCTGGTTTCATAATCCGCGCGCTCACCTGTGCTCCCCAGCCGGCAATCACGCTAATTAGCGGCCCCTAGCCGGCGATACGTAACCGTTTGATCAACGGGCCGGCGTTGTGCAGATGGCCGGCGGTTTCGCGATCGGCCGCCGATAATGACACTAACGAATAATCGCGGGACAGAGGCCGGGAGCGCGATTATTTTCACGCGTCCGCTGGCAGGCCGCGGCGCGGCGCCGTCCGGGCCGGGCCGGGACCCGCGGCACGGTTCCGCAAACTTTCGCAGCCGAATCACAATTCCGATCCGCGAACAATCAACGGTAATGCGAACGTGGAGAGGCCGCACGCTCGTTCCCCTGAATGCCGGCTGAAAAATAGCGTTCATTTGACCGGTCGTTCGTCGGTCGGCCGTTTCGGACGCCGCCTCGCGCCGCGAGGCCCGACCCCGGCCCGTCCCCGGCCCGTTCAGAAAACCGCTTTGGGATTAATGCGTTTATTTCGCTGCGCGCGATTCCGCTATGCGACGATTGTTAACGAGGTGAACGGCGGCCACGGAATGTAACGGACGCAACGGGAGCTGACCGAACGTGCTCGATATCTCGCGGATCCCGCGATTTCGTCGCCGTAGTCTTTCGATGCTAGGATCGGTGCTGATATTTTTGTGCGATGAGAAAATTGTCTTGGATTGATTGGGAGAAATGTTAGTCGGAGATGAAAGTGGCTTTATTCTTCTTTGCGATTTGGATAGAAATATTCCTTCGATTGTTTTCGCGTCTTTATAATTTTGTTCTTTATCTAGTTGTTTCTGGCGAAATCGCATAACATTTGCGCTCTAATAAATTATTAGAAATTGTTGGAAATTGTTTGAAATTATTAGGAATTATTAGAAATTATTAGAAATTGTTAGAAATTGTTAGAAATTGTTAGAAATGACTAGAAATTGTTAGAAATGACTAGAAATGACTAGAAGTGATTATAAATTATTAGAAATAGTTGGAAATAGTTAGAAATGATTATAAATTATTATAAATTATAAGAAATTGTTAGAAATAGTCGAAAGTTATAAGAAATTATTAGAAATCATTCGGAACTGTTAGAAATAGTCGAAAGTTATAAGAAATTATTAGAAATCATTCAAAATCGTCAGAAATTGTTAGAAACGGCTAGAAACTATCAGAAATTTTTAGAAACAAAAATCAGAAATCAGTTACAATAACTAACGAGTTACACTCCAGAATCATTAAAACGAGATCACTCGTCGCCTAACTCCGACCAGCCGAGTGCCGCTAGAATTTGAAAAACGCGAAATCGTTAAGCCAATATTTGCCGCGGTAAATCCTGAACTTTCGTTTTCATTAATTAAACGACATTGATTACGATACGACATTAATTAAATGTCCCTCATTACGATACGCCATTAACTAAATAACTTCGACTACGATACGACGTTAATTAAATGCCTTTGATTATGATACGACGTTAATTAAACGACTAGGAGCACGTGAACGTTGAAGAAGTACTAAGCGTCGTAGCCCACGAAAGAAATCGTACGGGATTAAATTTCATCGAGTGGAACTTTAATCTCTCGACCTTTGAATTTTCCGTTCGGGTGCATCGCGGTTGATTGATCTATCGCTGTTCGACGGGGATGATAGAGAGACCAGAGAGAGAGAGAGGGGGGGAGAGAGAGAACGAGAGAGAGAGAGGGTAGAGAGAGAGAGAGAGAGTAGAGAGAGAGTAGAGAGAGAGTAGAGAGAGACAGAGAGAGAGAGAGAGAGAGAGAGAGAGAGAGAGAGAGAGAGAGAGTAGAGAGAGCATCGCGGAAGTAGATCCAGGCAATTCGAGATTGCCGATCGCAGGGGAATGGTCCGACCGTGGTCAGACGCCCTAAGAGGAACCGACATTTTCGGGAGTGCTCGACTGGTAGCTGTCGGAATCTTTTGCGGAGTTATTCCGTGGAGTGTATCGCGCTCTAGAAAAATATCCGCTTTAACGTTCTCTTTCCAAGAGGACGGAGTGAAAGAGAGAGTGAGAGAGAGTGAGAGAGGGAGAGAGAGGGCGCAGAAGCTTTGAAATTTTCGAGCGTTTCAGCCGGCTCCCAGAAGGCATTCGATACACAGGGCTATACATCTTACGTGCCTCTGGGATTTAGACGCGAGCGAAACACCGACCCCGCTTCCCCCGCCCCTCCCGGTACATCTGTAAATAACCGGCAGACTTTCGATCCGCGGCTTTTTATCATTCATACGCCTCTTTCCGGTTGCGCTCGGCTATTCAGCGCGCGTCTTCTAAACGAAACTCCTTTGAAGCTGTTAAGGACAGCGACACGAACAGGCTCCATGATACCAATGCGAGGAGACCTCTCTCTCTCTCTCTCTCTCTCCTTCTCTCTCTCTCTCTCTCTCTTTCCCTTTTCTCTGCCTCGGAGAGTTTCAGCGCACGTCGTTCTCCTTTGCCATTTTCAATCTGCTCATTCATAGTCCACGCAACCGCCTCGGTTTAATTGGCGGCGTTGCTCGTGACTTACTCGCGGATTTCGCGCGCGAGAAATGCTTATGTATTTCGCCCGCGACCTGCTTGTCGAGAACGCGCCTAAATTTACTTCTCCGTGTACTGTTTTTTTCTTCTCTTTTTTCTTTTTTTTCTTTTTTTTTTTCGTTACAGACCCAATATTTCGAGAGTCTTGCGGCGGACCTTGCTGCACCGTGCATCGCAGAGCGGTGGGACATTTTTATATCGATCTCGCCGGAAGACCCAACCTTCCTGTTCGAACTTCGGTGAGACGCTTACGAAATTTTTGCTCGGAATCGATTTGTATACGTTATTTTTAGGCACTTTCAATTCGCTGCAACGGAGCCGATTCTTCGAAGGAATTGGAATAGAATGCGACAGTTGTCGAATGGAAGAGTATGGAATTATTAGACCCATGATTGGAGCATGGTATTATTATTATTATTAATTGTCAAATGGTATTAGTAGACTGCGGATTTCGTGCATTTATGTTAAAAATTGAATAATTTGGAAGAATGAATAGACTCGAACTTGCAGTCGAACGGCGACTCTGAGGAGTCACTGAAAATTGCTATACATTTTTAAGAGGCTGTTAGATTGTTAAATTAGTTTATATTTAAATAATTGTAAAAAATATAAGTATGCGGGAGAAAGTAATTCTCCCATGCACGCAATATGAGACCAATAAAAAAATCGAAATGTTGTACGTTGAAAGAAATATCTTAGCTTTGAAGGTAAAACAGCTTCGAGTGCAAAGGATTAACCCTTTCATAGGCACTGGGAACTAAGCTTCAGTGCGCATATGGACACCAGGCTCAAATATTGCCACTGTTGAAATGTGCTGCCACCTACATACAAGTCTCACCACCCCTGATTTTGAGGGGTGAGAAATTAAATACAACAGAAAAGCGAATAACAGTTGTATCACTGTGTGATAAAATTATGGTAATTGAATATTCTAATTTCTTTGAAAATTCATATCGTGGCCATGAAAGGGCTAAGGGAAGAAAGAGATTTTTATTTTGCATAAAGATCCGCAGTCTACTCATCAGAACAGAGAAATATTATAAAATTGCTGCATTCTTAATTCGATAAATTTTTAACTCGATCAAATATCAGCTTTATTGTTCAAACATTGGCGAGAGATCTACAAATACTTGTGCACGATTCAGCGACAGACCCGAACGCTTTGATTAGAGAACGAAAGTTCTATAGAATATTTTTTGGCGAAACAATTATCATATAATAATTATATTAGTTTATTGTTTCAGTGAGAGAGACTCGACTATTCTCTCCAGACTCTGGGGCTTAAAAATAAAATAAATCGTTCATGTATCAGTTTGAGACAAGGGAAGTTGTTCTTAGACACTTTGGCGGGCGAATGAATAATCTAGCGGTCGGGTGATTAATTGACAACACTATGCGTTTTGGTGAGAGATACCGAACGGTACAATTGACACTCGGATTATAGAGAGCCGGCAGTGCTTTCGACACGTAGATTAAAGACCTACACCTAACCTCGTTCTACATCACCAGTGTCTACAGACTTCTCTCGAATAGGATACGTCAATATTATCGATTGGGAAGATTGTCTTCGAGCGTGTACAATACGATATTTTGCTGGGCAATCTAATGGTTATTGCTGGATTCGAGAGCCGACCAACCTTGTTCCAGATCACAGGAGCTTCGTTTGAACGGCGTCAATTTCACGAAAGGTAGCGAACACCGTATCAGCTGAATTATACAAATTTACGCGGATAAGCGACGCTGTTATCTAGAGGCTCGTGTTACCCTCGTTCTCTAGGTAACAATAGCCTTTTTACCTAATAGAGCACACCAGTGTTAGTCATCGGAGGGCAACGCTCCGTACTATAGAGAATTTGATCCGAGATGCTAACGCCTGTCATCGACACTCTTGCCTAGAGACATACACAGTGGCCGACAAAAAGGCGTTCGTACACCTTTTAAAGCGCAATAACTGTTTTAAAACCTAAAGCTAAATGACTTGAATTTTTTTAGATGACGCAAGGACGATGACTAAAAAAAGCTCCCTTTTTAAAATCTCGCTGTTACTCGGAACGAAAAGAAAAAAATTAAGAACCCTCGTTTTTTGACATTTTTATCCGAGCCTGTAACGAAAATTTAAAAAATGCCTCGAAGCATTTTGAAGGATTTTGAGAACTGCAGACTTCTTACAGTTTTTGGTAAAAAAATCGTGATGAAACTGCGATTTTTGTTATCATTAATTTGTTAGAACTCTTAACAACGTGAAATAATGATAAAATTATGAAAGACACTTTTTTAAATTTTCCTTACAGGCTAAGAAAGACTAAAAACTGAGAGATTTTTAATTTGTTGTCATTCCATGTAACAGCAAAATTAAAAAGAAAAAGCATTTCAGTCATCATCAGTAGATCAGTTCAAGAAAAACTAGAAACTGAGAGATTTTTAATTTTTTGTCACTCCAAGTAACAGCAAAATTAAAAAGAAAAAGCATTTCAATCATCATCAGTGGATCAGTCCCACTATCATCTAGAAAAGAATCAAGTGATTTAGCCCAGTTCTAAAATAGTTATTGCGATTCGAAACGTGTACGTGTGCCCTTTCCACGGCAGCCCTTACCTCGTAAGGGCCATCTCTTACCTTGTCCCTGATTTCCTGTCGCATCTTCTCCCGTTCCTCTTCCATTTTGCGGTGCTTCTCCTTCCTTCGCTCCTCAGCCTCCCGGATGGCTTCTTGCCTTTCCCTCTCGGCTTCCTCCTCCTTCTCCTTGTCATCTTCGTCTCCGCCTTCGCCTCCAACGGCTCCTGCAACACGAAACACCGACGCCAAACGTTAGCACGAATCGTTTTCTTTCATCTTCGGAAATATTATCGCGAGAAGAGCCGCGGAAATGCCGCGACGCCGAGAATTCGGACACCGCGAAGAAATCGGTTCGAACACGATAATCGATGGGGTCCCGGGGGGAGAAGCGGCCCCCTCCCCCCCGAAGCTTTATTCGCAGAGCCGGCCCGAACCGGGGGCTTCATTTCGGTTATGCTCGGTGTACAAACTACCCGGATAATAGACGACGAGAAACTAACGGTTTACTCTCCCGGGAGCAAACATTGTAAATCAGCCTGATCGCTGCGATACCGGTCGACCGTAGTTCGTGTACACCGTACCCGGGTATACGCCGAGTTTCCAAGATTATTATTTGGCTGTTCCCGTCGAGTCCCAACAGCAAACAGGAAACTTTCCATCCAGCCAGACTCATTCACCTCCGCCGCCGAACGCTATCGCTGCCGGCAACGGGATCCTGTATCGGTTTAGGTGACGGGATCAGGATGCTTTCACATGGTACTCACATCGGTGATCTTTCCTTCGTTTTCATTTTTTTTTATTATTAAGGAAATCTTTCGTCGGATTTATTACAATGTACAGTAATGCCTCCTTAATTGACGCCCAGATTGACCATAAAAATGGACAATTTTGGAAGAGGAGATACGATTAATCGAGCCTCGCAGCTCGTTCTTCTAATTGTTGGCAAAATCGGTAACTATAAAAACGAGTTGCTCGGCTCGAAATTGTCCATTTTTCTGTGCAATCTGAGCGTCAATTAGAGAGACATTACTGTACTATGTTGCAGGATGTCACGGAGTATAGTGAATAGCGAGAACGTTGGCAAGAGGTGCAAGTATGGACCAGGAAGAAATATGGATCAGAAGTCATGGACTAGGAAGAAACGATTAGGCGAAATATCCGTTTGTAAAGACAGTATAGAAATTCTCAAAAAATAAAGGAAAGGGTCTCTTTCATTTTCCATCGCTATTATCGCCGTGAAAGAAAAGCTCGTGCGATTTTTACAGCACCGCAAAACTAAAGGAATAGAAAAGGAAAGTTATTATTAATATTATAATTAATTACGCGACAATAGACAATCACGAAGCTAAAGAATATAAAACAAAACGAAAAGAGAGAATGATAATAAGAAATAAGAATAATAAGAAAGAATACTAAGAAATTGTTAGAAGAAGGAACCGGTTTTTTAATAGACAGCCACAAAGCTGAAGAACAGAAAACAAAACGAAGCGGTAGAAGATAATAAGAAATAAGAATAATAAGAAAGAATACTAAGAAATTGTTAGAGGAAGGAATCGGTTTTGTTTAATTGTCTCCGTCGAACGCCATTATCGCGGCGAATGAAAAGCTCGTGCGATTTTTACAGCATCACAAAACTAAAGGAATAGAAAAGAAAAATTATTATTAATATTATAATTAATAACGCGACAATAGACAGCCACGAAGCCGAAGGATAGAAAGCAAAACGAAGCGATAGAAGATAATAAGAAATCAGAATAATAAGAAAGAACAATAAGAAATTGTTAGAAGAAAAGGAACCGGTTTTGTAATAGAAAGCCACAAAGCTGAAGAGTAGAGAACAAAACGAAAAGAGGGAATGATAATGAGAAATAAGAATAATAAGAAATTGTTAGAAGAAGGAACCGGTTTTGTTTAACTGTCTCCAACGAACGCCATTATCGCGGCGAACGAAAAGTTCGCGCGGGCGCTGTTACGGAATCGCGAAGTACGGCAAGTGGCCGAGACTCCGCCGCGGCTTGGGGCACAGTTTCGCAAGAAAAATATCTCTGGAACGTCGACAATGGCCGATCGAAGGAAGGTCCAAGTGGTTCGATAATTTGTCCGCGAGTGCACGGGATTTCGCGAGGAGGAGCCCGCGAAAGTGGATCTTGACCCGGCGGCGTATCGGCTGTGCAAAGTAGACGGGCTAACCAACTCGTTAAAAGGCAGTCGGCAACTGCGGCGGCGAAGTATCTCCGGGAGCAATTTCATGGTTCCGCGGACGTTTCTGATCGACTTGCTCCTAATAAGAGGCGAGACCGTGGAGCCAGAAGAGAGAGAGAGAGACCGGTTACCTTTCTTCGGTTCCTCCGTCAGCTTCCGGTCGCCCTCCCCCCCTGCCCGATGGTAATGCCGCAGCGGCTCGATCGGTCTCTCTCTCTCTCTCTCTCTCTCTCTTAACGAAGTTTTATTAGTTTACCGAAAGATCAAGTGGATCCGGCGCGGCTGCTTGCCTATTACTCGCCGGGACTCACGGAGAACGTTCTCCCGTTGGAAAAATCGTGTTTACGCCGCGGCAAACAGCCCGTTACTTTTCCTCGCGGCCGATACACCCCGAACCGGTCCCGGACAGCTTCGCCGGAGCTGCCCGCGTGAAAATCAGAGGGGCTCTCTGTTCGCCGGCTACCGCCGCACCTTAACTTTCCCCCGGGTCTCGCCGCGGAATTAATGGCAAACAATGGGAAATTTGTCTCGCGTAATGCTCTTTTCTCCTGTAAATAACGGCCGTTTCCCCCGCCGCGGGAACGCAGCGGCGCGCCGTGCTCGAGAAACCCGTGGCAAAAATCCGGTTTTCGAACTGTGTACCCGTATTCGGGCATGGTTTTTGCTCGCTGGACCGGCACACCGTTACGGTTTCGGGACAGAAATATTAATGTCATTCCTTTCCACGTTGTTGTGCGACAAGTGATTTTTATGCGAAATGAAAATTGACGAGATCTGTTGCTGGGAACAGAACGGAGCTCGCGGCATTAGGCAAATTCCTTTTAGTCGAATATTTTATTCGAATAATACATTATTTGTCATCAATTAGTCTAAGTAATTCTTTGGTAGAATAATTGTTTAGTCGAATAATTCTTTGGTAGAATAATTGTTTAGTCGAATAATTCTTTGGTAGAATAATTGTTTAGTCGAATAATTCTTCAATCGAATAATTGTCTAGTTGAATAATTCTTTACGAATGTAATGAATATTCTGAATATAATGAATATTATGAATATAATGAATATCATGAATATCATGAATATAATGAATATTTTGAATATAATGAATATAATGAATATAATGAATATACAATCACGAATTACAATGATATTATGAATAAAATGAGGAACATAGTATATAATAACATTATAACGACATTACGAATACAATAAATTCGGTCTCGTAATTCGCGCATAAGCTGCTCTCGACAGTATCGCCGTAAAAAATCGTTGCGTATCTGTTGCAAATCATTTCCGGTCTGTTTCCGGTCGATCTCTAGACAGAGAAAGATCAATTACAATTATCACCGTACGCAGGGAGTTCCGAAGATCGATATTAATTTATTAAAAATTCACGGGATCCGTGTCGGTGTAGTTCGGCGCTCGATAATTCCTCCGATGATTAGAAACACGAGTTAATAATTAACAGCGTGTTCCCCGGGACGGGGAACGAGGCCATCCGGATTGGAAAAGCGGACGCGGCGGATCGGTGTCCGACGAAATAAGTAAATTTAATTAAAGCCGCGCGCAGCATGATGGATGAGAACGGTCCGGGGGAACCGCGTTTACGGCCGAGTGGACAAGGTGATAAGTGGGCTTTATTACTCTTTTTAGAATGCGGCTTTCGAGAGGTGTCCTGCGGGCCGAGGGAGGCCGCAGGACGACGAAACGGAAGCTAGGCCGGCGAAGCTGTCCCGCGGCTGTAGGTCGTCGTAATAATGTAAATGCGTTCGCGTACGCTCCGCAAATGACAAGACAAAGAAGAAACCTTCCCTCCCTCTGCGAGAGAGGGAATTAAGTGGTCGCTGCGGGAGATTAACGACTTCGTGATTAATTGGCGAGGCGGGCGGCGCGTTTATCGCCGGGATCGCTGAACCGACAGCCGGATGCGATTATTACGCTGCGGAACTTTGTGCTTCTCGCGATTCGACGCACCGTTCACGGGGCCTTTAACAAGCGATCCGCGGAGTTTCTATCGGTTTACAGATATCGGGGAATCGTTGGAAATTTCTGCGAAGGGTTTCCGCGTTGATTCTACGATAGATCTATGTATTTTATTTCAGTTCAATTTCGTTCGATTCAAGTCGATTCAGTTTAATTTACTTCAATTTACTTCAATTTACTTCGATTTACTTTACTTTAATTTACTTCAATTTACTTCAATTTACTTCAATTTGATTTGATTTTATTCTACTCTGTGCGATTTTATTTTAATTCATTTTCTTGTTTTCTTTCATCCGTTTGATTTTGTGAAAGTGATCGACGCGTGCTGCTTCATAAAAATGACAAGACTGAATATCTTCGAGCTTCTCGACACGTTTTATTCAACTTATCCTTACGAAAGAGTTATCATAATTTCGAGGATCTTGATATAAAAAGATGCGAAATCAGTTATTTCGATATATTCTCTATAATACCATATATTCTCGGTAGATTTAGCGGTAAATTCGTATAAATTCTTGCAGGTGCCCCGAGGAAGTGTCCAACAAGTATCAGGTGTCCCAAAGTGTGTCAATGAAACCCAGCGACGAACTCGGGGAGGAATATTTCGTAGATTGTACGAGCTTCAAACAATTTCGAACAATCTCCGGCGATTACCGAGAGCACGCAGCGCGTCCATGGGGACTGACAGCGTTTAGATGGGAACCCCATAGCCGTGGGAAAGTCCAGGTGAGCTAGCTCGAACGAAATGTCGTGGTAATCGGTGCACGGTAGGGCCAATATTTAAGGAGTTAGGCGATCCGAGTTACGCGGACCACTCTGTGGAATCTGGGTCTAATTTCAGAGGGCGAGAGGAAGGTTGCCGAGAGCGAGAGAGACCGAGAGATAGAGAGAGATAGAGAGATATATATATATAGATGGAGAGAGATATAGATGGAGATAGGTAGAGAGACAGAGAGTGAGAAAGAGAGCGAGAGAGAGGGGGAATAAAAACATAGAGAAGGGACTAGAGAGATGGAGAGAGATAGAGAGATATAGAGAGATGGAGAGAGATACAGATAAGTAGAGAGACGGAGAGCGAGAGAGAGCAAGAGAGAGGGAGAGAGGGGGGGAATAAAAACATAGAGAAGGGACTAGAGAGATGGAGTGAGATAGAGAGATATAGAGATATAAAGAGATACAGATAGGTAGAGAGACGGAGAGCGAGAGATAGAGAGATATAGATGGAGAGAGATATAGATGGAGATAGGTAGAGAGACAGAGAGTGAGAAAGAGAGCGAGAGAGAGGGGGAATAAAAACATAGAGAAGGGACTAGAGAGATGGAGAGAGATAGAGAGAGATAGAGAGATGGAGAGAGATACAGATAGGTAGAGAGACAGAGAGCGAGAGAGCGCAAGAGAGAGAGAGAGAGAGAGAGGGGGAATAAAAACATAGAGAAGGGACTAGGATGAACGTCCCTGGCTCGGACTTCAAAGTACGTTTCCAGCTCGCAGAAACCAGTGCTGCGGGAAACAGTGCAAACAGAAAGGACGAGACAGCGCGGAAAGAAAGGGAAAATGGCAGACGGCGCCGGGACAGAAGTAGTATTAATTTCCTCGAGCCCGGAGGTCCTGGCACATCATTCTCCGGCAGACAGCCAGGAAAGACGAGCACCGCCGACCTCCCTTTCCCGCTTCCCTTCGACCGGGGCCCGTGTGTGTGTCTGCCTTCCCGATATTGCCAGCGTCGCTGCGACGCGCTGTCTGCAATTCCCTCGGCTCAAAGCCAACGGTGCCTCTTGTTTTCCCCCGCGAAACAGGCCAACTTTTCGCGCAACAACCACTCGAAGATCATTCTTTGATCGCGGCACCGGAGAATCGTTTTATTCGGCTCGGGGACCGACGAGGCTCCGACGAGGCTTCGACGAGGACAGGTTTTATCAATGAACTCGATTTAATCGATTCAATTAAATCGATTCAATGAAATTTTGCACGTTATCACAGATGATGCACTGTTCTAGGAACTTCTATGTAGGTGAACAGCATGCTGGATCAGATCTGGAGAAGTCCAGTTGCCCTGAGAAGTCAACGAAACGACGAACGATGAGCACCAACTTTGGGCCCGGACGAATTTTGCACGGCAAAGGTAGACGATGAAGTCGAGCAGACCAGAGAACGATTTGGAAGAGCAATTCGAGGATTCTTAGGATTAATCGAACGTGGGAGATCGAGCGACGAATGACCGATCGAATTAATTTTTGCACATCACAATAAGCGATCCATTGTGCCAGGATCCCCTTTTCTGATCATTTCTGATGAAAGCACAGGATTTAGACTGTCTAGAAAATGGGCCGAAAAATAAATTAGATTCGACATTGAATCAAACAGCGAAGCCTCGACGAAGAATTACTCGGATTCCAATTAATTTTTGCACATCGCAATAAGGGATCCATTATGCTAGGGATCCCCTTTCTGATAATTTCTGATGAACGCACAGGATTAAGACTAGACTGTCTAGAAAATGGGCCAGAAAATAAATTAGATTCGACATTGAATCAAACAGCGAAGCCTCGACGAAGAATTACTCGGATTCCAATTAATTTTTGCACAGCACAATAGGCGATCCATTATCCCAGGGTCCAAGGAATTTCTAAAGAACTCGCAGAATCGACTCTCTATCCAGCTGAAAAACACGTGGCAGTCGATCGGATGAATCGAGCTATCATCGATCGGCAGACCGTCGAACATTCTTTTCATCGAAACCGCCGACTCCGGAGCGCGAGTTTCGCGAAAAGAGAATCCAGGGCCCCCTTTAGACTGAATTGGGGAGGGAAGGAAAAAATTGCAGAAAGTCTGGCGTCATCGGAACCTTATCCCGGATAGGATCAACGAGATCCCGGGAACAATATCGTCGGGAAGAACCTGGAAGCGCTGGCATAACCGGTGAAAGATAATTGCTGGCTGTTCGAATCGGGTCACGAAATTTTCAATCCTCTCTCGGTGTACAGCATCCCGATGCTTACGAGCCGGAATGACATAAAGCCGGGGGGCCGGTTGATTCCCATTATCGAATAAAATAAAACAATGCGTTCGACCCAGTTTTCCAGCGGCATGCCCCCGCGCGCGGCAAATAGAGAGAGAGAGAGAGAGAGAGAGAGAGAGAGAGAGAGAGAGAGCAGCTTCAATTCAGCGGGGTCACCAATTGCGCGGGCTTTTGTCTCCTAAATTTCTTTCAGCGCGGCTACAAGTCATGGTAATTTCCATGAGTGGGGGAGGGGGCGTTATTAGTCGGACTGTGAATATTTCTCCGCTCCCTTTCTCTCTCTCTCTCTTGCTCTATATATATTTTTCTCTGCGCGCTCTCTCTATTTTCTCTGTTCTTTCGCGCTCTGTCTTTCTATTTTCTCCGCTCTCTCTCTCCCCCCCTCTCTCTATATTTTTTACGCTCTTCCTCTCTTTCTATTTTCTCTGTTCTCTCTCGCTACGTCTGTCTTTTTTCTCCGCTCTTTATCGCTCCGTCTGTCTATTTTCTCCACTCTCTCTTGCTCCGTCTGTCTATTTTCTCCGTTCTTTATCGCCCCGTCTGTCTATTTTCTCCGCTCTCTCTCGCTCCGTCTGTCTATTTTCTCCGCTCTCTCTCTCTCGCTCCATCTCTCTATTTTCTCCGCGCTCTCCCTCCCTCCCTCTCTATATATTTTTTCCACTCTCTTTCTCTATTTTCTCTGTTCTCTTTCTCTCTTTTGCTCTGTCTATTTTCTCCGCTCTTTCTCTCTCCCTCTCTCGATTTCTTTTCTCGCAAAGAGGAGTAGTCGAAGCATTGTTTTGTCCGCGGCAGACCGATTGTTCGGCCACGCCGGATCGATGGCTCTTCTTCCACCGGTTTTTCGTGTGCCGATTATTCGTCTTCTCCCCGGTTTTCTGCCGTCGGTCCCAAGGCACGGCCGTGGAACGAGCGCGACGATAAAAATAAAGTAGAGGGACCGCGATTTCGAGGCTCGATCCGCGAACAACACACAGGGATTGCCGGGCAGAACGCCGCGGCGCGGCGCCGCGTCTCCAGGGCGCAGTCGGCCGACACGACCATAACTGCGAGCACAATTGCCCGCCGTGCAAATGGACCGGCGAAACCGGCGACATTCCCGTTTACGCGGACATTCGCGCGCGCGTTCACACGCGGGGACACGTGTCGTTCCCGAGGTCTCGTCGGTGGTTTGCGCCGTTTCGAGACATCGATCGGTAAACCCTCCCCTCTGCCCCTCCGGCTTTACTCGCGATACCCGTCCCGGAATCGTCGGGATATTTTGTAATTTGATCGGCGACGGTGAAGATCGTTTGTTCTCGACGGAATCGTCGGTTCGCTTTGTTCTGTCGTTCGATCGTTTTTTAGCTGATTTGGAATTCTTCGAATTCGACATTCTCCTCGGAGCTGCCTTTTTGTGAGGACTGAGGAAGGTTTGACCCTTGCTGGAGAGCTGCTGGGTTCACCGAGATGTACAAAATTGCGTTTTTTAAATTTGAGAGGATAAAAAAGTTGATGGAACATGGGCTTTTTGCCTTCTTTGTTATTCAAGGTAATAGCAAAATTAATAGGTGTAGTATCATTGTTATAGTGTAGTAGATTAGTCTCTTTGTCATCTAAAATGGATTCATTTAATCCAATTTCATTATTATTATTTTATTATTATTATTTATTAACGCTAGAACTTCCGAGCCCTAATCGCGACTAATTTATATCGTTTTATAACAATGTCAAGAGCGGATTTATTTGAGCTTCGTATGACTTATATTATAACTTATATTATAATATATTCTTCAATAAAGTATAAGTATATATATATATATACTTGAAAACTTCCCCTAGAAATATTTTTATAATATCAGTAACTGTAAACGTTTTAGTGTTAATGAAACGGGCGAAATACTCTTTAGATCACAAAATACGCTATAATATCGTGATTTAATTAAAAAATACATAACGTAAATTGCGTCGGAATACGTAAGAGTCGCTGACCAAATTTATGTCATCGCTATAAAAATTTGCATATCGCGCCAATCTGTGAAGACACCTGCGATAACCATAAAAGGAACGACGGTGTCTATGAGACGGTCAAGAACTTCTAAAAAAGTTACCCCGTTTCCCAAGTGTCTTTAATACTAAACCTATCATGACGGTCAAAATAGCCGGCTCCACATCTTTTATTTGAACATTTTTGATATTCTAAAGCCATTTTCGTAGGAAATGATCGAATAAATTTCTTAATTCAAGCACACATTATTATAAACATAGTAACATGTCTAAATAAATTCAGTCTTATAACTCTCATAAAACAATACACGTCAGTCGTTTTTAGCGTTCTGTAGGTTTAGTGTTAAGCAATGGCCGCAACAGTACAAAACGAAAACGACGGAAAATGATCGACGAATGGAAATTTCTCTGCGTAGATCGCGGGAATGGAAACGAAGCGTCCGAAAAAAGTCGTCGCCGTCGTCGTCGTCGCACGAGTCACGAAGAATACCACGCGCCCTGAAGAATTCGGTCCTCCGGCTAGGACGAGCGACTGTGAAACGGGTCGCGAGCGACCCGCGGAGCGCTCGGCCATTCGAGCGCCGGTAAGGACGCGGTGGTAAAGTGGGGGTCGAGAAATAGTCTAGGAAAAAAGTCTGGGGATAAATCTACGGGGCGGCGTGGTTTCGCGTAATGATCCGCGCCGGTGACTCGCGGGAACAAAAACCTCGCTGCAGCGGCTCTTGGCCTACATGCGAGGAGGACAAGCCGAAAGAGGGTCGGGGCGTAGCGGCGCGGAGCAGCGCGGAGCGGAGCGGAACGGTGAGGCCGTCTCGCGGCTGGAATATCGACGCGGAACCGTGGATGACTGCGGCCCCCCGTCACGGTTCGCTTTTAAAATCATCGTCGGCATAGAAATCCCCGGGCAGTCAGTGGGCGGGGCTGCGCGAAAAATAATTCGCAGCCGCTTTTTTCCTCCCGGCTGCACGATTCGCGGCTACGCGGAGCGTTGCCGAGCGTGTGTGAGGAGAGAGAGAGAGAGAGAGAGAGAGAGAGAGAGAGAGAGAGAGAGAGTCGCCGGGCCCGCTTCGCTCCGCTCCGCGCCGCGAGCGCTAATGATTCCGGCCGCGAATGGCCGCGCTTTTTTTTTTATTTTCTTTTTTAGACGGTCCCGAATGTCTGATAGGTTTTCAGCCGCCGCGACCGAAGCAATTAAATCGTCGATTTAACCCTCGGCCGCGTTTCGCCGCGGGTTCGCCACGCCGGATTCGTGCTACGCGCGGCGCTCTTTGCAGTCCAATTTCGGCCGAGTTTATTGAAATAATTTGATGGAGGTGATTTGATTGAGCCGACGGGAACGTCGACGTTAATGCACCGGACGCGGACAGTTGTTCGACGAATTTTCAACGTTCGAGGAATAATGATATTTCGGCGACGGCGGCTTAATCGGTTCTCCGATGATTGAGCGCCGATTTTACCGGGACGGTTCTAATCGCGCGGACCTCGCCAGTACGTCGTTCCGACGTACCCTCCTTTCGTCGTCGTCGTCGTTTCGACAGATTCGAGCGCCGGGGCTGCCGAATGCATCCGTCGCCGCGCGACCTATTTCTTCTAACGAGAAGCCACGGGCCACCGTGGTGGCAACAACGACATAAATAAAACGTGGCTTCTTCGCGAGATGGTCCGTCAACGACCACCGAAGAGAGCGAGAAAGAGAGAGAGAGAGAGAGAGAGACAGAGAAAAAGAGAAGCCGGAGGAAGAAATCGCCATTGTTTCCCTTCCGCGTCTCGAACGTCGACAATGCGAAAACCGGGGACAAATCCCTGTTTTTTCTCTTCGCTTCTTTTTTGTCTATGTTCGCCGGGGGTCAGATGAGAAGCGGAGAAAAGGTGCGGCATAAAGAGCGGAGAACGCAAAGAGGGGCGGCCCCCGATAGTCATCGATAATAATCATCGTGCGCCGCGACGCGACCGTCGCATGAATGCGGCCAAAACCAATCTTCGACGGCCCTGTTCCTTTCTGGCTCCGTCCTTTGGCGGCAATATACCCTTTCGCCCTCGAATTCGCCGTCCGTCCAGGTTTATTAATCGACTGGGAAACCGATGTTTAACCAACGCTCGCTCGCTCGCTCGGAACGGGCATTGGATTTCTTCCGTAATTTTCTCCTCCGTCGGCCGAACCGCCAGCGAAATTACTCTCAAAAAATTGTCCCGGCCCTCCGTTTCAATCTAGGAATCTACGCGGGGTCCGCGCAGAATTTTTAATCAGCCGCCGCGAAGTCGCCGTTTAATCGAATTTGGGCTCTCGGAAGTCGCGATTAATTTCGTTCGGAATGCTCGTTAGCGTCAAACGAAGACCGAAGTACGTAATCGATAACGAGATTAATCGCCAGTGCGGATATTTAACAAGAAGATTTGTTAATGCCATTTTTATGCTCGTTTTGCCATGAACGATCTTTCAGTCGACGAAGGAAGTTAATTCAAGTTAAATAAAGGAAGAAACAATGAAAAAAGTTCCCTTTAATTTTGATTTTTGGGAAATAATCTATGGAAAAATCAGAG